ATCGATGGTGCTGCGACCCGAACGGAATCCACACTGCTCTTCCGCCACGTTAGGTTCCACAACCTGAATGACGAGGCGATTGAGCAGAATTCGGGCAATCACCTTGCCCACACAACTCAGCAACTTGATGCCACGATAATTCGTGCAACATTGCTTGCTCCCTTTGCCCTTGTACAGTGGTAGAACAAGGGCATCCTTCAACTCAGGAGGCACCTCCTCCTCAATCCATACACGTTGCACCAAGTGGTGCAGCGCAGTCAACAACGCGAGTCCGCCGTGTTTCAATACTTCCGGCGGGATCGCGTCGGCTCCGGCACATTTGCCGTTTCGCAGCTGAGCAAGTGCTCTCTCGGTGCCATCTAGTGTCGCTTTGTCTGCCAGACTCGCCTTCACATCGTACTGCTTGAGGCCGTTCAATGTAGGCCAGTCGATCTCTGAACGGTTGTTCAAGAGACAATCAAAGTGATTTCGCCAGATCTGCATTATGTCTGCAGTCTGTGTGCAGGTAACGCCTGAACTACCATCGATCAGTGTCCACAGCGGCTCCAATCTCGGTCCATACACCGCCTTCAAGGAGTCAAAGAATTCCTTGTGTTGGCGGCGTTCGGCGTAGCATTCCATCTGCTTCGCCTTCTCCGTCCACCATGCATTTTTAATGCAACGGAGCTCTCGGGTCAGTCGCCGTCGAAGTTTGCGAAACTGACTATTCTTCTCCAAGTCACTGGGGTCTGCCACATGTGCAGCAAATGCTGCATTCTTCTCCGACACCAATGCGCCGATCGTCGCATTGTTCTCATCAAACCAATCAGGCCGCTTACAGTTTGCGCGCCCAATTGTCTCCCCGGCAGCAGCTATCACCTGGTCGCGAATGCGGTGCCACAGGTCGTCCACTGTGGCTATGCAGTCCACATCACATAAGCGTGCAGCCATCGTCTTCTCCAGCTCATTACGTTTCGCCACAGTACCGAGGGAGGGAATGTTAAATTTACGCCGGTTAACGGCGGGAGTGCAATACATAGATTTACGACATATATGTACAGTTTCGTCCGAACCAATTTGTGATCGGTGCCACACTCAGCTCCACGCAGTACACGTGTCATGCGCACTTCACGCATATCACGCTGACGTACGATGACATGGTCGATCAGGTGAGCGTGACCACTCCGTGGGTGCGTCCAAGTTGCTATATCACTCGCACTCAGTGCAAACCGAGTGTTCGTGATCGTCAGGCCATGAGTGGCACACAGTGAGATCAGCCTGTCACCGTTCGCATTCACTGAACCAATGCCATGCGAACCGATAACATCTGTCCACACCGATGCATCACGCCCAACGCGCGCGTTGAAATCACCCAGCAGAAATAGTCGGTCGCTCCTCCGCACAGACCGTATCACGGAGGATAGCTCAGTTTAGAATTGATCACGCGTGTTATCAGGATAACACATGGTCGGCTTACAAAGGTGGCAAACTTACCTCTTCCGAGCCGTAGGCGAACAGTCATCTGTCGCGCGCTGATGCCCGTTGGTTCACCCACCAGCTGGCCATGGAGGCGATCGGATATTGCAAATCCGACCCCATGATCACGTGGTGCTGGGGCGGCGTTGCCCACCCAGTAGAATGTGTAGCCAGCACCTGTTTCGTGCAACTTACCTTGCTCAGCGAGCCGGGTTTCACTGAGCGTCGCAATATCGATGTGGTAGCGTGCCAGTTCCATCGCGACGAGTGCAGTGCGTCGCTTGGGGCGCTCACTGAAGTTCCGGTCCAGTAGTGTGCGCACGTTCCAGCACCCGATGCTGAGTGTTTTGCGCGCAGGCATACGATTGCATTGGTGGGCAATCGCACGCGAGGTGGTCGTTGTGCTTCGGAGGTTGGCTTGAGGGACTCCACCCGAAGCCTTTGGCTCAATAGCCCGACCCACAAAGCAGTGAGGAACAGATCGAGCTCGGGAATGTGATTGCAGAGACAGATTGGGATCTGCTTGAGATCCGTCGCACGCAGCCTTGGAGGTACTGGAACGATTCATATATGTTTTGCGACCGTAGTAGGATACGCACCTGCGACCACGGCCAGACGCAGGTGGGTTTTGGCGGGTTTGCACCAATTTGACCAGGGGTGCCTCGCTTGAGG